TCTCCGTGTATTGTTTCTTGTCCATTACAACCGTCGCCCCCCCCCTTATCCGCCTGAAGAACTATTTGATCATTCATTTGCATTTTTTTCCGAATACCAGCCAATCTGCTCCAGTGTATAGGTTCTTGATGCGTCAGGAATCGTGGGATTATTTCCAATTTCATCTCCCGCCTTGTCTTTTCTGGGTATTTATCCGTTATGTTGGAACAATACACAAACTAGCAAAATTCATTTGCTTGAAGCTCAATAAAATAAATGACAAACTCTCTAATACCGTCAAGAATTCATATGAATTTTCTCAAATAATCCAGAACATTGGGCTGGTGGGGTCGGAACTGTTGGTGACTTTCGATTTACAATCCATGTACACAAACAACTCAGGCGAGAAGGCGGTAAGCGCCTTGTTGGAGATATTGGAGCGAGAAGAGGACATTCTGGAGGCAGAAAGGATACGGAAGGAGTCGTTAACAAGACTGATCAACCTGACAATAAAGACCACATATTTTACATTTAACAGCAGTATCTACGAGCAAATATTTGGACTGTCGATGGGATCTCCACTCTCACCTCTTTTGGCAAATGTGTACATAACAAGTTGGGCAAGTTTAACATTGACCCTAATCAAAGCAAGCCGTACCAGAACATTTGTGGGTCGGCACACAAAAGACTAGGGCATGGCAAGTCATAGACTTGTTATTCGAGATAGAAACAGGATAGACGCGGCGGAGACTGGAGCTAGCTGGCTGACAGTTATACCAGAGACGTGGTGCATGTAACAAAGGCGTGACCATGACACTTACTCAGAGGCTTTAGCCTCAAATCAGTCACCCAGACGCAGGGGATGGGCGAATTACGCCTCGAGTAGCACAGATGGGGGGCAGGGGTCGAGTGTAATAGGTGTACCGGGCAGATAGCAGACGGATTCTACGGGGCAAGAGGGAGACTCTGATAGGCCCCAGGGAAGGAGGACTACGTAACAATATGACAGACTGTGATCAACATTGCCAGCACAAGGGTGAAGGGGGTGAGAACGCCAGTGTGGAGTGTGAAGGGTTTTCATGAATGCCCCTTAAAAGAGCACACCACACTATATCGAAATAGGCACGGTAACAAATTGTGACAGTGAAGGTGTGATTGGAGGATATAGAAAATGTGAATAGTCAATGGCAGAAGGGGAGATACCACAACTGTTTGGCACACGTTTGGTCAAAGGATCAGTTTCACTTGTCTCTTTGACA